TGACTTAATTATCTTTGACAAGGTTGCCAAAGGGTGTTGATCTTCAGTTTTTTTTTTAGTATTTAAAGATATACTACTTTTTGAAAATTCTTAAGACTTAATTATCTTGGTGCAATTTTGAAAGATATTTAATCTTTTGGAAAATTATGAACCTTTAAACTTAATTGTGTTGAATAGCCTCCAACTCAGAGGGGCGTATAATAATTTAGAAGAGAAAGAATAAGTTTAGTGAGGGGAAAGTTGATGCAAAAGGTGTAGTGAGGATGGAATGAGAAGATAGTAGGACGAAAAGGAATTACAAAGGGTAATTTGAAATGAAAAAGAGGAGCAATGGTTGTATTTGTCCACCATGGTGTGGACATCACATTTATAGTGGTTTTTGGTGGAACAGTTTAAGCCTAATTAAGTTTTACAGTTTCTTCGTCTCATCATTTGCTTTTCTCTTTTCTCATCGACCGCCGAACTATCAATTAATTCTCATTGGCACCAATTGATTTTTTTTTTTTTTTGAATTAGTTGATTCTTCAAAATTTCAAACCCATATTATATTCAAATATTTTAAATGCAAATATTTGTTATTAATTAGCTTGACATTGATTAGCTTTGACTCATGAAATTTGTCGTTGCTTAGTCTTTAATCGATGGTAATTAACAAGGTTTATAGTCATTAGTTACCAGCTTAATGTCAAAAATATATTATAACTGGACATGAGTCCACGTCTTGGGTGAGTTATATTATCAATATTTTGAATATAGATGTAACAAATTATTATAAAAAATAACTATATTATATATTATATATATATATATATATATATAGTTGTGTTAAGATAAAATTAATAATTGACTTGTTAATTATTAATATAATTAAAGTAGATGTTAAAATCATCATCAACTGAGAAGATCACCTGAATATATATGGTCTAATATATTTTCAGGATCATCACCTTTACAATTGATATTATTTTTGCAAAAATACATTTGATATTTGATGTCAGTATTTTGTAGTGAATCGTATATGATATTTAATATTAACTGAATATTATCAAAATCAACTATTTAAACTCAAAATTTATATTGATCTTCTGTAATTTTTAAATTATTTCATTTTCAAGTTGCGTTGCACGGTTATGTTATTATATTTTTTTTTACATTATTATTGGTTTTTGTGTTTTTAATATATTTTCTATATTTAAGTCATTTATATTGAATTGATAATTAAAAAAATTAATAAATAAAATATCCACAAATTGAACTCAAAGTTTATACATCATGATTCTTCTCCAATATGTTGTCATTGACATTTGCTACCAAAGTTTAAAACTTGTCAAAGCAAAAAATTTACAGGATAAACCCATGGGTATTATTGATAAATATATAACTAATTAAAGAAAGAGAAACCTTGTTGAAAAATGTGAACTTTAAAGCAAGAGACTTGCAGAGCCAAGGAAAAAAAAATTGATTTTGATTGTTGAGAAGATAAAGTGAATTATTTTTATATTATTATTTAGAAATAAAAAAAATTAAAATGTTGAGGAAAAGAACTCACATAGAAAGCAACAACAAACTCTAACAGTTAATCTGAAGGCAACTTAATTGAAGTATTGAAGAAGTCATGAAGATAAAAGTCTTGTGACACAAATCCATTTGCTGCAATTAGAATGACCACCACTATAACAAAAAAAGCATTTGATGATACATCCTAAAGAAGACAATAATTGTAAAACCCACAAATCAACCAACAATCACATCCAAAATCAACCCAAAAAAAAAAAAAAAAAAGATAGAATAAATATAATTAAAAAATACATATCATTTGTTTCCTTTGTCATCACTAAAATTGAATTGTTTTATGTGTGTGATGATAAAATGAATGGTTCGGAGTAAGTCTATTAGTTATTTAATATAATATTATCAAATTAAAGTATATCTTTCTAGTTTCCAAAGATTCAAAACGCTCATCAATATAAATTTTATTGAGCAAAGTATGACTAATTATATACTGATTCTGTTCAGGAAAATCGAGAAGAAAGAGAGAAACAAGGGAAAACTGAATAAATGTGATGATAAAAGAAATGTTCGAAATAGGGCTAAAGTTATCCAATTAAGTGTATTATATATTCAAATTAAAGCCATGTCTGTCTAGTTTTAAAGGTTTAAACCTCTCATCAATTGAATTTATTGAGCAATTGGTCAATTTACTATGACTGTTCAGTGGAAACACAAAATATGTGTGATGATAAAAAGAATTCGGAAATGGAGCTAAAGTTATCCAATTAAGCGTATGATATATCAAATTAAAGCCCTATCTGTCTAATTTCTAATATTCAAACCTCTCTATAAATTGATTTTATTGAGAAAGTTATGGTCAATTTACTACTGATTGTCAGTGGAAACCGAAATGTGTGTGATGATAAATGAATTATTTGACAGTTGGGGTACAGGATCCAAATTAGCGTAGTAATATATCAAATTAAAGTCTCGGCTACTCGAGTTTTCAAAGATTTTAACATCTCATCAATTGGAAGTTTTATTGAGCAAGTTATGGTCATAGCTGTTGCTCGCCATGACCTTTTTGATCGTCACGAGTTCATGTTTTGTCAATGAACTCTTTGAGATGACATCTTTTGATGAGGTCTTTGATTGCATCCTTCAGGGCATGACATTCATTTATGTTATTGTCAATGTCCCTATGGAAACGACAATACTTTTTGAAGTCTCTTTTGCCTTTTTGCCCCTTCATTTTTTTAGGACGAGGTAGTTTCTTACCCTCATTTGATACTGCCAAGATTTGATTGAGTGGAGCCACCAGGGGGTGTACGGGGCAAAACGAGGAAATGGCTCTTTTTCCCCTTTTTGGTTGGTTCTCTATTTCTTCGGGAAATGGTGCTTATCTCGGTCACCTCGATCTTGATAACCCTTTTTCTTATCCTCGAATCGATCATTATCTTGCTGGACAAGGGCACTGCTCGAGGTCCCGCCAACTAATGCAGCCACTAAGCTTTCTAATAGTTGGTATTTGGCCGCAATTTGATAAATATGGGCAAGACGCACGTGATCCTCGCCTTGTAAATCTTTTCAAAGGTCTGTTTGTGGTCTAATCTTGACAGTTAAAAGCGTTCGGATTGACTCTTCTAGTGCATCCATGTCCTTTGACCGCTCATTCCGAAACCTTATTAAATATGAAGTCAAGGTTTCACCCTTTTCTTTCCGGATGTTGCTTAAGTAACTCAAGGGTATGGTGAATTGCCTTCTCGCCTGGAACTGCTGGAGATATAGCGAAGTGAACTGTTGCCATGAATGGATGAAGCTCACTGCGAGCCTTTTATACCATCTATTCGCATCTCCTACAAGGGTTACTTTGCGTGATCACAAACTTAATGCAACTCCACCAGGTCATTAAAAGCATCAAGGTGATCTTTAGGTTCACCACTTCCTTTGAACTTGATGTCCAGTGCTTTGAATCCTTGAGGTAAAGGTGTCTGGCGCACCACTCCTAAAAATGGGGAGTTTACTACTCCTGTGGCTTGGTTTTCCCGACGAGCCCTCAGGTCATCAAGCATTCTTTATACCAGATCCAACTCCGAATTCACTAGTGCATTCTACTCACAGGCTCTATTGGCTAGTTGCTAAGTGATGTGGTGTCAAAGATCAGTGCTATGAATGCCAAGTTTATTAAGCAAGCTAGTGAATGATGTCAACTATAGTTGCTCAGATGATAGGTGATATCCTAATCTGGGTTATTTCTCCTTTGATGTGGGTGCAAACCGGCACGTTGGGCGTCTAATTGACATGCATTTTGACCTCCGCGAGCTCATGAAGATTGAGCTTGCCCTAGGCATGGGTCCTGACCGACATGCCAAGTTTAAATTTTATGCTACTTAGGGTGAGCAGTGTCCTTGCAAACCTGTATTTTCTTCTAGAGGCTTTTTTCCAGGTCGTTTGCCCAGATTATTATGAGTTTGGCCTCTAGGTTGATGCACAATGTTTGTCCTACGTCGCCTATGATGGTGCTCATTGGGTGAGCTAGAACTACATTTGCAGTTTCATTCTCTCAGTTTGGGGTTGGCTTAGTGATGTTTCGTTGGCTTGACGATGGACTCTCTTGCTGTGCATTCTTCATCACGACCACATCTTGTTGAAGGGTCTACACGGTATTGTTGAGTGATCTCAACATGTCCAACACCCTTATTATCCGGATTGGATGTGCCAACCCCTTATGCATTCATTGGCTGAATCACAATTGGGATCAATGGTGGGTGACTCGTTGGGGCCACCTGGTTGACCTCTTGATGGCCTGTCCCAGTATTCTCATTAAGGTTGTTACCAGTGTTGGCTACAGAGTTTTTGGTATGTACCATGGTGGTCGAACGGTGGTTATTGTTGGAAAATAAGATTACAGAATGTTTGCCGTCCTTCTAGCGCCAAAATGCTGTTACAAAATTATGCAACAACTGGAAAAATCCAATTGACCTTGACGGAATCCGATTGAATGTGCGCGTGATTAATTAAAATCAGCAAATATGAATAAAAGAAAGACACAAACAGTTTTTAAAGTGATCCAGTGAGCTATTAACTCTCTGGCCTATGTCTATTGTTATCTTATTGATGCATTGAGTACAAAAATAAGTATAATCTCTCTAAAATTGCTAACCCTTTACAATGAGTTTTCTAGGTTATTTATACAAGAATCTGATAACGGCCAGTTATTTTCGGGATCATGGTTTAGTCATGGAAAGTTAATCCCATGATTGGCGTGATTGCGCTAAGTCTGGGATTGAACGATAAGGTTCCGAAATCCTCTCCTTGATATTAGGGGATAAGACTTATTAGCAATCTGTAAAACAACTGTCCAGTAAGCTCGCTGCTCCAAGCTTCACTTTCCCCGAGCTATACCTGATTCCGAGCTTGTCAAAAACTCTCGCACAACAAGAAGCATTCTGAAAAAATAAAAAATATTGTAATAATAATCATGTGTGTAAAAATACTGCATTCCTCAATGAATACACAACTCTAAGTAACGTTAATTCCATTCCATTACATTTATATAATTAGCGGATCATTCTACAGGAGGAAATTATCATACAGAAAAAAAGTTAATCAAGATCATCGATCAGACGAGCGATTAATACCCTTTATCCTCATCCAAAAATTATCGTTCTTATTCAGTGGTTTTACAAAAGATCGATATGATATGCAATGATATTCACACCTCCCGCTACCGTAGAAATTTTTTGTAATTAGCTACTACTAAATTATGATTAATTTCTTCCAATCCTTAAGGAAGAATCAACACCTTTCCCATTAGTTGAAGCAAAGAGTTTTGCAATCTCAAGTTGAGTATTGGCAATGATCTCAGTTCTTTTGAGGTCCATTTCTCCTCTTTTAGCTTCAGCTTCAACTCTCATTTTCTCAATCTCTCTCATTGTCTCCATTCTTGCTTGTTCTGATCTCACCACTACTTCTGCTAGCCACCGGATGCTTTCAGCTATTTCCCATTCTTCCCGTTTTCGCCTCTTCTTTTTCTCCATTTTCATCTTCAATTTCTTGGCCGTTAACTTCTCCTTGTCGTGACTGTATAGAGCTGGTGTGCTACTGTCTGTTTCCATGGCTTTCTTGTCTGATAAATGGTCTGATATTTTAGTTTCCACCCCATCTTCCTGTCAAAAGGAAGCAACGTAATTTAATGAAACTTTATCAGTATATAATACTACATATTTAAATTTTAAACCTTCTAACAAAACAAACATATCACGTTATATATCTCTCGATCTAATAAAATCACACCATATTGCATTTATCACAGTTGGAAAAGAGAGATGTCCCAACGCAGCCATGGCATCGGAAAGGGAAAAGCCGCGTTGGGGCAACTCAACACCGGCGCAAATCGTCGAAGCACCATTGTCGGGAACAATGAGCCCTGACACCGGGGCGGATGGCTACATAAGCCAACGCCGAAGCTCTCCGGGATTAATTTTGCCACAAATTTTTTTATTTGTATACCGTCTCCCAACACCAACTATCGCATTGGGGGACATTTTCTGTTTCCAACTTCTGTACGGCGTAATATGTCCGGAAGACTCTATATCTTTAAATATATATATATATATATATAAAAAAAAAAAAAAATTGTAAACATGATGATAAAATTGTGTTCGACAAAACTGATGTGATATGTCCATAAAACTCTCTAATCTATACTACTTTTTTTTCTCCTTATTGCTTCTATATATATGCTCCCAAGTATGGTAATATTGTTGAATGAATGATGAAAGTTAAAAAGATGTTCCTTTCAACAACAAATATTCCTTATATACTAGGGTAGTCAACTATATTTCCTCTTTTTGAATCAAATACTACCTGCAGTAATTATTTTTCTCTGTTGCTAAAATAAATAAATAAATATAAGGATCGATTTGATAAAAGAGTAAAAATTGAAGTAAAATTCTGAGTATAAATATCAGTTTGACTGCATATCTTTTCAAAAATTTAATAATAAATTTTACTGCATACCTTCTCCAGTAAAATTTATTATTAAAACAAAAATTAAAAAAAAAAAAATGTTTGATTAATTTCCATTGAAGAACATCTGACACTGACCTTGCCAATCCTATCAACTCCAATGGACCCATGTGAGTTTTGAGTAGTTCCAGTAGCCGCTGGAACCCCTTGTGGAGGAGCCGCGGCAGGAGGCGGCACTAGCTGCGGCGACGGCTCAAGCAACATCAAAGGAGGGTTAACCGGTTGAGTCTGCTGCTGCTGCAGCGGCTGAGGCTGCGGCTGTGGCTGCGGCTGAGCACTTCCACGTAGTAAAAGATCGAGGCGTGGATACAAAAGCCAAGATGATCCATCCGCATTAGCAGACTCTGATCTGTACCTTTTCTTCATTGACTCAATCTTGTTCTTGCACTGCGTTTGAGTTTTGGGAGACTTTGTGTTATTCGCTCGCAACGAAACGTGTCTCGCGACCTCTTCCCAGTCATGTCCCTTGAGTTTGGCCCGATTTCTGAGCACCCATTTGTTTTCATAAGCTTCAAGTAGAGTTGACACCGCGCCTTCGCTCCATTCATCGCGTTTCAGTCTGTCGTTGCTGGGAGTGAAGGGCTTTTTGGGGGAGTCTTCTTTGTTGTTGGGGAGGAGGAGAGATGGAGTGGGTTCTTGGTTAGTTTCTTTGTCCATCTCTCCTCATGATAAAACCAAATACTTTTACTGTGTGTTATCTAGCAGTTAACATTTATGAAGGAAGCTAAATGTTGAGGAGAAGTTTAAAGAAAATGGCAAGTTGCAGGGAGAGAGAGGGAGAGGGAATGGAGGAGTGAAAAGTAGGGAGAGATTAGAGAACCACTAGCATTAGAATTTAGAAAGATGATCAAAAGGAAAAGGTTAGTTTTAGTGGCCAACCAAAGGTAGCCACTAGCATTTCAGAAATGGAAACAGGGAATAATTTGGAGTGTTAGTTAATTACATGTTTGTATATAAACTATTTCACAATTGAAAATTTTAAGGTTCGGACCTCGGCATTTTCTAAAGCAAGTGATAATTCTAAGAGGTAATTCTTTTCTTTTTTTTTTGTATGTTCAATACTTTAAAAGATAAAAAATTTCAGGTGCAATGTTTACATTGACAATAATGTTATATATACAAAATTAAGATTTCAAATTTGTATCTCCATTTTTTTTTTTTTTAATCACTGGACTATTCAGATCAGTTTATAAGCACCTTAATTAATCTCCGAGACCCATTGAACACCTTACAAGTTCATGTTCCAAGTAACCCAGATATTAAATTTGTGATAAATGACTCTAAGGTTCAAACACATAGAGTCAATGAAAAGAGTAAACCTTTTTAACCGTCAAGCCAACCCCTTAAGGTTTATCAATTGGTAATTGGTTTAGCAACATCTCCTTATGCAATTACTAAATTAAATTCATACAAATTGGAATCTCAAATTTGTATCCTAACCCACGTGACAGTTGATTTGACAATATAATTTTTAATTATATAGAATGATATGATAAGTAACTTTCGTATAATTACAGATTCACGTAACATTACTCTTGATTAATTGAAAACCCTAAGACCTATATACCCCTCAAAGTTGGCTCTAGAGAAAAACAAACTAATTTCAAAGTAAGAAAAAGAGAAAATAATTAATAAACTTTATGTGTTATAGATATCATTTATCTCCAAATGATGATTTTAATTTATAGGAAATAAAAGATTGAATTCAATTTGTTGATAGAGAATTACAATTAACGAGAAAATAGATGGAGGGATGATCGCATTATACAATAGTTGAAGGAAGACTTAAAAGTAAAGGGAGGAATTAAAAGGGTTAAGGTAGTGGGCAAGGCAACAAAGAAAGTGATGAGTTTTGTCAAAGAAGCAAATGATAGTAACCCTTATAACTTTAGCTTTCACTTTTTTAGGTTTATTTGATTGTTGATTGTTTGTGTGGTTGGGTGATTTTGGCTGTTAGCGTTGATATGAAGCCAACCAAGAAATCCACTGGAAATGGCCTTATTAAGAACGGGTGGTGTTAGTGGTGATGGTGGTGGGTCACTCACGTGGCTCTGTCACCCACTCCATCCAGCCCCATCCCATCACCCTCTATTCTCACCCATTTTCTCTTCACCTCCACCCATTCTGCTTTTCCTCTCTCAACCCTCTTTCCTTCTTCATCATTTTTAGCTATTTTTTTCGGATGTATCACATCATCTTTATATTTATTAATTGGGATATCAATTCCGTAAATTATATAAATAAATAAATAGATGATATATTAGTTATATATGATTCCTTTCAATTGTTTTAAAATTCTGATGTATTACATCATTTATATATTTAACTATTATAATTAATACAAGTATGAATAAGGTAAAATTTTATTTGATAAGCAGGTGAATTGTTTAATACATATGCAAGATTCTGTCTAGGTTAGAATAAGTGAAAAAGAAATTTCTGTGTACACGAACAGACGATACACGAGTTATACCCATTACCCAAATACTTTTTTGGGTCACTTTTGATATACTTTTTAGCATTGCTTTTGGCTTTTGAAAGGTTTGGAGGATTGATGACCACTAGAGTGAGGAGACTTTTTGGGCATTAGGCTTTTTGTATTTGACCACTACAATAGGCTCTTAATTGATTCTAGATAGCCAATTTGTTATGATGCCTTATCAACAGAGGTAATCACTAACTCATTTGTTGTTAGAATAAAATAAAATAAAATAAAACAAAGTTGGGGGCCCTTAGCTTTATATTAATCTTTGTGTGAGTGTGACCAATGTTGTGATTTTTCAAAAGAGAAAAATCAGCTTTAGTAGCTAGGTCTTTTGGTCAAGTTATATGGTCCATCAATTGGCCTTGGTGTTGCGGACTTGGAAAGTAAAGAAACTGTAGACATAATGCATGTCAAATTATTGGAAAATTTAGTGAAATTTCCCTACTAAATAATTTGTTTTTTTCAACAATGTAAAAACCCTTTCAATCACTTCATTTTAATATAATATTTTGAAAAAAAAAATATGCATTTTATAGAGGAAATCTATTAAAAAAAAAAAAAAAAAAGCCCAAAATGTATCATTTCAAAAACAGGATTTTGTTCTAGAAGCTACATATAGTTTACAAATAAAATTTGTTAGTGTGATTGTTTATATAAATAAAATGAAAAAAGTATATATTTTAGATTAGAAGAAATAGAATTTAAGATAACAATTCATATAAAGAATATTTAGATATTGTTAGAAACACATTATTTAATTTTATGAAATCTAATCTGAAGGCAAGCAAAAATAATCTTCATTTCAAACGCAGGAAAGTTATAATTGACATTTTATGATTGATTATTATCAATATTCTTAAAATAATAGGTTAACAAAATACATCAAAAGCGCTAGAAGGAGGGGTTGAACCTCCGACCTTGTGGTTAACAGCCACACGCTCTAACCAACTGAGCTATTCCAGCTTCTGGTTTTGGCCTTTATTTTTAAATTAATAAATTTTGACATATACTACAGAAACGTTAAATTAAAAAATAAGTTATAGAATTTTGGGAAAGTGGGCCAACATTAAAGGTCCTAAGAATAGAAAATTTGAATCAAAATCAATAAAATTGGATAGCAAAGCATTAATGACTTTTACCATATTATATGCTCTAAATAATCTTTAACATCCAATAGCATTTATGATTAACGAGGGTTTTCTAATCATGTGATTAATTTGTATGCAGTATGTGTTTGAATTATTATCTAACCTTCTAAGAGATACTGTAATAATTTTTTAAAAGTATCATACCACTCTTATTAGGAGTGGTTTTGATAATTTTTTATGGGATAAATGATAATTTTAAGGGTATACAATACTTTTTCAAAGATTAAGTGCGATTTATATTTCACTATCTCTCATATACATTTGTCCATCTCATATTGCCATTGAAAAGTGGTTAAAAAGTAGTTGGCCCAAAAATAAAAGAAAAAAAATTGAAGTTGTTGGTTTTTAAAGTTAGTGGTGTGCTTTAATAGGTTAAAGGTCTTTGGCGTTATTTAGACAAATTAGATGATAATTACAAGATAAGTGATTTGATTGTAAGAGTAAGATTATGGAATAAAGTTAGAAAGCATAGAATAGTTGGTTACCAATTTTTTAGTGCTTTAAACATTCTTCAAAAACATAATCATACTTCATTAAAATTTCAAATCTTGCTTCACATCCACTATTCATACCCAATTCAAATCTTATATAGTTTTTATAATTACAAATTTAATACTTTTCAAAATTTGATGGACTGTTTAAGACTTAATTATCTTTGAAACGTGGTTGCCAAAGGGTGTTTGATATCTACATGTTTTTTTTAGTAATCTAAAAGATATTTACTACTTTTCGAAAATTCTTAGACTTAACTATCTTTGTTGACAATTTTGAAAGATATTTAATACTTTTGGAAAATTATTGAACCATTTAAAACTTAATTGTGTTTGAATTAGCCCTCCAAACTCAGAGTTGGCGGATAATAATATAAGAAGAAAGAATAAAAAAGGTTGAAGTGATGAGGGATAAAGATTGATGACAAAATTTAGTGGGTAATCGAAAGTATAGGACAAAAATTACAAAGTGTTAATTTGAAATTGAAAAAGAGGAGCAACTGTTTGTATTTGTCCACCATGGTGAAGTTAGTGGACATCACATTTAATAGTGTGTTTTGGTGGGAACAGTCTAAGCCTATTTAAGTTTTTACAGTTTCTTCACCTTCATCATTTGCTTTTCTCTTTTCTCATCGACCGAACTACAATTAATTCTCATTGCAACCAATTGATTTTTTTTTTTTTTTGATTAGTCTGATTCTTCAAATTTCAACCCAATATATATTCAAATATTTTAAATGCAAATATTTGTTATTAATTAGCTTGACATTGATTAGCTTTGACTCATGAAATTTTGTCGTTGCTTAGTCTTTAATCGATGGTAATTAACAAGTTTATAGACTCATTAGTTACCAGCTTAATGTCAAAAATATAATTATAACTGGACATGAGTCCACGTCTTGGGTGAGTATATTATTCAATATTTTGAAATAGATTGTAAACAAATTTATTATAACAAATAACTATATATATAATATAATATTATATATATAATATATATATAGTTGTGTTAAGATAAATTATAATTGTACTTGTATAATTATTAATTCTAATATATAGTAATGTTATTATCATTCATCTAACTTGAGAAGATCCCTGAATATTATTGTCTAATTATATTTTCAGGATATCACCTTGTACAATTGATATATTTTTGCAAAAATACATTTGATATTGATGTCAGTATTTGTAGTGAATCGTATATGATATTTAATATTACCTGAATATTATCAAAATCAACTATTTAAACTCAAAATTTATATTGGATCTTCTGTAATTTTTATAACTTTATTCATTTCAAGTTGCGTTGCACGGTTTGTTTATTATATTTTTTTTTACATTATTATTGGTTTTTTGTTTTGTTTAAATATATATTTTTCTATATTTAAGTTCATTTTATATTGAATTGATAATTAAAAAATTAATAATAAAATATCCACAAATTGAACTCAAAGTTTATATCATCATGTTCTCCAATATGTTGTCATGACATTTGCTACCAAGTTTAAAACTTTGTCAAAGCAAAAATTTACAGGATAACCCACTGGGTATTATTGATAACATCTATAACTAATTAAAAAAGAGAAACCTTGTTGAAAATGTGAACTTTAAAGCAAGAGACTTGCAGAGCCAAGGAAAAAATGTATTTTGATTGTTGAGAAGATAAAGTGAATTATTTTATTATTATTATTTAGATAATAAAAAAATTAAAAATGTTGAGAAAAGACTCCATAGAAC